TATATATATATGGATGTTTACACAGGTTTTTATTTACTGATACAAATAACACAAAGGGTGTAGGAAAATCACTTCTAAGCATAACACATCTTAGACATCTTAAAAAAAATGTATTTTGTTGTTCTTACATGTTATGAATGCAAATGCCATCCATCCATTATCTTTTACCCGCTTCTTCCATTTTGGGTCACGGGGGTCGCCGGTGCCCATGTCCGGCACACACTGTGCGAGGGGCGGGGTACACCCTGGACGGGTCGCAAGTCCATCGCAGGGACACATAGAGACAAACGAGACAAACAACCATTCACTCTCTCACTCACACCTAGAGACAATTTAGAGTTACCAATCAGCCTAACATGCATGTTTTTGGTCTGTGGGAGGAAAGTACCAGGAGAAAACCCACGCATGCACGGAGAGAACATGCAAATTCCACCCAGAAAGACCCCCGGACCGGGATTTGAACCAGGAACCTGCTCGCTGAGAGGCAGCAGCTCTGCGCCACCGTGCTGCTTTTTTTTTTTTTTTTAACTCAGCACTCTACTAGATCTCTACAAAGCTAATTGAACAAATCAAATGTAATTAATCGAATACTATAATTTTCAGAACAGGAAACACTTTAGGGTGCACCATCAAAATCATGTGATGCAAGGTACTTATATAAATAAAAATATATTTGACAAATCAACTGACGATTTGTACATTAAACATGAGGTACTTTATTTTAATAATTTACTTCTGTCCTTTTGCTTGTAGATATTTGAATGATCTTTAAATTTTTTTTTTTTTTTTTTTTTTTTTTTTTTTTTTCCAAAGCCGTCCTGAAACAAAACAAACTTTCCACTTTGCTGGCCGCGCGCCGGATCACTTTGCAGATTGCGCTTCCTGTGTTGCCAGGTATACTATATTTATGGTGTTTACACGATAATTCCAAGTACAATACAATGCAGTATTAATCATAATAATAAAAAAATTGAATCAATAGAATATAAAAAGCACTCTCACTCCACGTGTACAAACGTTTGGGTTAAAAGACGATGGCTTTAAAGCGACTGCACGATATTTGTCATTCTTTATCTGGCAACCCTGCGCGGAGCTCTCGGCGGGGTTTGAACTCTCTATAAATAGTAGACCGAGCCGGAGTCACATAGCAGTGACAACAAACATCCAAAGAGCTGAACCTCCTGCGAATAAATACGTTGTTGTTGTTTTTTAAATGGAGCAGGAGGGGTTCGGTCCAGGGAAGAGACGGAGGAGATGTTGCTTCATTGTGAGCGTGCTCGCTGTCCTTCTTCTCATCGTCATCCTCGCGCTCGCTTTGGGACTATCCATGCGCGAGGAAACTAATGAACTTGAACCCATATTTCTGAGCAGGTGTAAACAACTTAAAGAGTAAGTGTTGCTTTTATTTATTTATTTTATTTTTTTACTGTTTTTGCATCAGCGTCTTAATCTGATGAGTTCAGAACAGTGTCAGAGTAAAGTCAACATAAAGTAAATTTTATTTCATTTAAACCTCAGTGGAGTCAAAATCGTCTATAATGACGCAAATTGTTATTTAAAGAAAATAATGTATCTGCTGATGCACCACTCTAATCAACACTTCTATTATTATATTATTTAAATTAATAAAAATGCCTGAAAGTAAACTAATAACAGGAGATCTGCAGTTTATAGTCGTAAATAACATCAGCTTATGAAAGCTTCTTGTAAAAACACTTTATTTAGTGCATTATATAATCTTACTTTTCTTTCTGTGTCAAGTCTCTATTGACTGGAGATAGGATTAGGACAAACTATATTGGCTGTTTTGACCTAGTTCCTTTAAAATTGACAACACATGGTGTCTTTTATAAAAATAAAAGTGTTTCATAAAAATATGAACTAAACAAAACCACTCTGATATTTGTGTATTAAGGCCAAACTAGTTATTTTGATTCATACTGAACTGTTATTGACTGTCCTATTGTTTAAACCGAAATTATAAATAGTTTATGTTCTTTTTACATTTGTGGATGAGAGGAAATGTATTTTTTTTTCCTAATAAAATTTGTTTTCTTTGTCAAGATTTTTATAGAAATGTTATTTGTGCTAAAATTTTAAATCACTTCTTATTTCTGGAGAGGGGGTATCCTCTAAGCATATTTTTCTTTTCACCTGTTTAAGTCGTCTTGATCAGCTGTTGTTCAACTTCTCAGGATTTTGTAACAGATGTTGTCAATTGACACATTTGCAATTTGACACTGTGGGACAAATGGTGTCATTTTAACAGGGTTAAAGAAGAATATGCAGCTGGAATGGATTATTTTGCTAAAGTATCAATATTGTGTCAATGTAATGCTGGTTCATAGAGTTTAGGAGCCGTTTTGTGCCTGAATGATTCATAACTAGGCCTGTCACGATAACAAATGTTGCTGGGCGATTAATTGTCTCCGAAATAATTGCGATAAACGATAACATTGTTTGAAATTTGACAATTAGTAATTATTGTTAAATGTAAGAAGAAATGTTTGTTAATTTGGTTTGCGTGTAGTACCTTTTTTGATCACTGGATGGCAGTATAAGATTGAAGTGAAGGATGGATAGCGAGGGAGCAAGCGGCGTGACTTTTTAAGAAAAATAGGAGGGTGACCTCTTGACACATGGGCTGTCTCTCCTTCCTTTTTTTTTGGTTCTCAAAAAGGTGGACGCTCGGTGTAGTTTGAGCTCTTTAGCATAGCATTTTTCACACAGAGCTTTTAATAGAAAATCAGTAAACAAGTTCTCAGCTTCTTTTTGCAGAGAAAAACAACTTTTTACACGAAGGCACGGGTTTCAATCGTGAATTATAGAGCTTCGACAAGACAAAGGTTTTTCTCCCAAGGTCGGCCTGTTAGCTTAACTCGTAGCGTAGCGTTTCAGCTTAGCTACTTTTAGCGATCCAAAAATGTGATTTTGGACGGTTAAAATGGATTTTAAAGAGAAAGAGAGGGGTCACTGAAGAGCACCGGAGTTGAGCCTTTTGTCATCCAGTGTCTTTAGTAGAAAGAACGAGACACAAAGAAACGAAAAAGCTGATAAATGAAAATGAGGCTGATAATTTTCATTTATCATGCGATTAATTGATTTATCGTTTATCGCAACTGGCCTATTCATAACTGTAACAAACCAAATATTTTTTCTGAAAAAGATTGAATACTGAACTGAAAATAGGAGAAAAAGACAATAAAATCCTAAAAGGAATGTTAAAAAAAAAACAAAAAAAAAAAAACATCAGATAACCCAGAACTGTATCGTTTGTCTTCCAGGTATGACTGTCAACAAGCATGGGAACTGTTCCAACAAGCTTACGTGAACCGCGATCCCTGTAATGTTTCTATGGAAGCCTATGATCCTTTCATCACTGCGACCGCCATCAGACCTCAGTGCAACAGAGTAAGGACTCGTTCATTCGGATCAGACGCGTGTGGTGAGGCGTAAAACGTGTTTAACGGTGTCATCTGTTAACTGTGTTTGGGGATTAGATGATGTTCTGGAGCAAAACAAAGTATGTGGTCCATGAGTTTACTGAGAAGAAGAATTGCTTTCAGACCCTGGAGGACACTGTCCTGGGGTCTGTCTTGGACGGGCTGACCTGGTGTGGGAAGGAGGGAAGCTTTGGTAAGAGTCCTCAACAAAAATATGTCCCCATGACTGTTTTAGTACAAAGATCATCAGTGAATGGTTGTCCCTACATGTCAAAGAGGGAAAAAATCCATTTGTGATAAAATCTCAAGTATTTGTATTCAACTTTTATTTTACCAGGAAGATCCCATTGAGATTATTCCTCCATCAGTTTTCTTTTCAGGTCATGGGAACTGGTGTGCAGCAGTCACTGTGCGACAGGCGGGAAACACCCTGGACAGGTCTCCAAGTCTATCACAGGGACACATAGAGAGAAACAAGACAAACAACCATTCACTGTCACTCACACCGAGACATTTTAGAGTTACCAATTAGCCTAACGTATGTTTTTGGTCTGTGGGAGAAAACCGGAGTACCCGGAGAAAACCCACGCATGCACGGAGAAAATGAAAAGTTCGCACAAAAAGGCCTGGAGGCGATCCTGCGAGTGTGGAGTGACAGCTCGAACTACTGTCTAAAAGAATCCCTTTATCAATGGAGACCTGGACCAAACAAAACACAATTAAAACAGACATGTACCGTCTTGTCTGTGTCACTTTTAACTTTTAACGGGAGTTATTTTAACAGACACTTAAAGTAAATGTCAAGGGTTATTTGGATTCTGTTACCTTTTCCCAGAAAAGAGACAAATTTACTATACTGTACTGTACTGAACCCTTTCAACTGAATTTTGAAGTGGAGTAAAAACTCAAATCTTTACAGCCATAACAGATTGTTATCAAATTATGCTTGTCCCAGCAGGTATTTAAAGCGTTTGTGGAATAAAATGTCCTTTATTTTTAAGTAAAAGATGAAATATTAAATAGTGGAACAGAAAAAATAGTGGTAAAAGTGAAAAGTCCCTTACTTTCAGCGGACAGGATGCAGGATCACAGTGAAGATCTGGAACATGAATCACAAAAAAAATCCAAGGCCAACTAGTGAACAGCTAAACAGCAAAGTGACCAGGATAACAGGATTACCATGAGGATCTGACTATGAACTGAGGTAAACCAGGAGTATAAATACCGGAGAGGGTGATTACTGAGTGAAACACAGGTGAGCTGATTACAGATGAAAAAACACACGTGGGTGGCGCTGGAAGCCAGAACGGCTGAGATTAAAATACAAAAAAACACGGAATCTTTAGAAAACAAGACAAGAAGAACCAACACAAGAATGTTAACGTCATCTAGTTAAAAATCAAATTTACGCATTGGTCAAAATTTTTGAACAAACATTCAGGCTTATTTTGTGAGTGGTGATGCAGAGGTTAGTCAGTCAGAGTCAGAGTTTCTTTATTTGTCACACGCACCACATGAGGTACATGTGGTGGAACAAAATTGTGTAAAAAGGGTCCCAGTTACATCCAACAATAAAATGTAAAAGAAAAACAGTAATGAGATCTAAGATATGAACAAAGAAAAACATTAACTAAAGATACACTACGCACTAGTAGTACAAAAACGATACGTTGAACAGCAGCATGAACATGAGTCTGTGTGAGTAGATGAGGACGAATGAACACAGCAACATGAAACAGATCAGCAGCAACATGAAACAGATCAGCAGCAACATGAAACAGATCAGCAGCAACATGATGCGATTTTTCACAATGATTGTCCTGGTTAGAGATTCATGAGTCTAACAGCCTCAGGGTAGAAGCTGTTCCTCAGTCTAGTGGTTCTACACTTAATGCTCCTCAACCTCCTTCCTGAGGGGAGTGGGGCAAAATGTGAGTGTGCTGGGTGAGTGGGGTCCTTCATGATGCAGGTAGCCCTCTTCCTTCATCTAGAGGTGATGTTGGCGAAAAAAAGAAGGTAGGCGTGTGATTGGATGGTTGCTGGTTCAGCTCCCCATCTCATCAACATAAAAATGTGGGTAGGAAAGACCACACCTGCCTCCACCTTCATTTACTCCACTCTGGGCCCTTGAGCAAGGCCTTTAACCCCCACCATCTGCTCCCCCAGGTGCCCTATGGCAGCTCCCTGCTCTACACAGAGGGCTGTGGTTGTCAGGAAGGGCATCAGGCGTAAAATCAATTGCCAAGTCTTCATGCGATTTAGTTCACTGTGGTGACCTTTGAAGAATGGAGCAACTGAAAGAAGAAGAAATAATCAATTCAGACTTGTTTAAATTTCTTGACTTTATTTTATTTATTTATTTATTTATTTATTCATTTTATAATAAGAAGAATACATATCAATTTACATGTATGTAATTTGAAAACAAAAAAAATAAAATGAAAGGCAGCAGATGAAGAAAAAATCTTATTAAGTCTGCTCTTAATTTATCTAATAAACAATTCAAACAAACATTTACTGTAAGTAACAAAAACAAATAAATAACTTAATAAGACTTTGGTCCCTGATCTGTTTGAAACATCCATCCATCCATTACCTTTATCCGCTTCTTTTTTGGGTCACGGGGGTCACTGGTGCCCATTTCTGGCAGTCACTGTGCGAGAGGCGGGGGACACCTGAACAGGTCTCCAGTCCATCACAGGGACACATAGAGACAAACGAGACAAACAACCATTCACTCTCTCACTCACATCTAGGGACAATTTAGAGTTACCAATCAGCCTAACATGCATGTTTTTGGACTGTGGGAGGAAACCGGAGTACCTGGAGAAAACCCACGCATGCACGGAGAGAACATGCAAACTCCACCCAGAAAAGCCTCCAGCCCGAATTTAAACTGGCAACCTTCTCGCTGATAGGCAACATTTGGACACTGTCTATCACGGTGCGCTAAGATTCATAACTGGCTGTAACTATCGTACCCACCACTGCACCCTGTATTCACTGGTTAACTGGACATCATTAACTTCACACAGACTCTCCCACTGGTACATTTTCATCTTTAAATCACTTCTTGGTCTGCTGTCTTCATACATCTCCTCCTACATGTCTCTGCGTGAGTGCAGCTACAGCGTGCGCTCTCAGGACATTATTACCTGCAGTGTTCCCTCAGTGAGGACTGAACTAGGCAAAAGGGCCTTCTCCTGCTCTGCTCCTGTTTCCTGGAATATTTTGCAAAAAAATCTGAAGCTCTTGACCTTGACCTCTGTGGCTTTAAACATCTGCTGTTTCCTTGTAAGAACCAATGCAGACATGTTCCTGTTTTTTAGTCTTCCACACTGCCGTTTTTTTCGCTACTTTTTTCTTTTGACTGTCCTTTTGATTGCCATTTTATTTTCATTTGTAATATATATATATATATATATATATATATATATGTATGTATATTGTATGCCTCTTTTATGACAGTCTGTTGTCGTTGTTGTCATCACTCTTTGTTAAAGAAATCAGGTCTCTCTTGTAAATGAGTCCCTGTGGCTCAGTGGGATTAACATGTCTAAATAAATGTTGAATTAAAAAAATCTCTACCAACTGAGCCACTCCAGTTTGAGACATTTTCTTAAATGATCAAAAGTTTTAAATATATGCAGCAGAGATTCTGGGATGGCTCAAAAAATACACGTTCAAGCCAAGACAGCTGTGAAAGTTTTTGTATACATGAAGTCTAGACTGGGATTAAGCCATGACATCTTTCCTTTTGTTACAGTCTTTTCAATCACATTGTATTTTTTTTGCACCTATAGGATCTTAACCAAGTTTTGTTGACAATGCTACATATCACATATTTGTGTCACCTATGTCTTTGGGACACAGTCATTGTAGTATTTTGTCCCCTTGTATCTTTGCTCCAGCATCACAGTGTCCTGTAGTTTCAGGTTTGTTTTCTTGTGAGCAGCCCACTGAATCTAATTGTGTGTTACTTTTTTCTAGAAACATTCTCCAGTGGTTGCCCGGCATGGATGGATTGCGCCAACAACCCCGTTCGCTCATTTTGGAATCGAGCCTCGGCTGCTGTGAGTCCAAAGCAGCAATCTGCAAGTTTTTTTTTTTTTTTCCCACAGATATCACAGTTGTGTAGTGGAGCAGTGGTCAGTGTATCACAGATGTACTCAGTGTGGATTTTGATGTAGATGAGTAAAGAAAAAAAAGGTTACACTGCCATCAATGAGGCTTTGTGTCAGTCTCCATGGAGCACCGGCCCACACAGAGAGGCCCGGTTTGGTTCAGCTGCAGGGACACTTCTAGAACAAACTAAGAACAGGCTCCTAAGATGCAAAAGGTTAGTTTGACAAGAACAATCAGGTAAAACTGAAATAAAATGAGCACAGATTCACATGTTTTGGTCTTTTTGAGTTAACATAACCGCAAATTAAAAGTTCAGGAAATCAGTTTATCATAGCCTGAGGTTTATAATTACAGTCATAATGCATTTATTTTGTATCTAAAGTGTACTTTCTTTAACACCCACTTCCTGTGTGTAGTTTGCAGATGTTGCCTGTGGCAACGTCACTGCGATGCTGAACGGGTCCATCGCCACACCGTTCGATTCTTCCAGGTCAGTCGAACAGTTTTATGAAAACTTATCAAAACTTTTTAACATCACAACTCTTCACTCGTGTAGTGTGTATTAGTTTAAATAATTCTCTTTTACATTTTTTTTCTCCAGTATTTTTGCCAGTATTGAGGTGAAAAACTTTAAATCCAGCAAAGTGAAGAACCTGGACATTGTTCTCATCACACAGAAAAACTTTGTGTAAGGTCTATTTGTTTGTTTTGTCACAACAGTTCTATGTGTTTTAGTAATCTAGTACAATGGTCCCCAAACTTTTTTGCGCCACGGACCAGTTTAATGTTAGACAATATTTTTACGGACCAGTCTTTAAGGTGTGGTGGATAAATAAACAGAGGTGGAAAGACTACTGAAATTTTGTATGCAAGTACAAGTACTGTTACACTGTGTAAATCGGACTCAATTATAAGTAAAAGTACAACTGTTATAAAAATACTTAAGTAAAAGTACAAAGTACTCTTCTCAAAAACTACTCAGAGTATTAAATACTTTTTAACCAATTGATGTTTTATTGTGTCGTCAATAGAAGGCATTCAGTTTGATTTACTGTATATAATAAATATAATAGCTACATTCAAAGTACATTTCTCAGATTCTCATAAGCTCCGTCTTATTTTAGTACCAGACAAACTGATGGCAGTGACAATATCTAAGATATTTGCATACTTAGCCAAACTAATAACCCACACATACAAACAATAAAAAATTAACATCATACAGGTAGCTGTAAAACCTCGTATACTGCAATATATTTTTTGAGATTAGATGCTGAAGTCTTGTAAGCTGCTATCACTGTAGAGATCAAACACAGTTTGCATCTGGACGCTGTCTCCTGTTCACCCTCTGTACATGAAATATTCCTCCAGGTACAACCACGGGCACTTGTCCTCAGCCTTTACCTCATCATTTTCTCTGCTGTTGTCCTTCTGTCTCCATTTTGGCTTTTTCTCCAAATCTTTGGTCCATAAATGAGTTGTCCTTTGCTTACATCATAGGTAACTGGCACGTTTGCGATCTGAGAGCCTTATTGGCTACAAAGATGCAGATGAACAGTTTGAATATTAATTCAAATTGTGGCTGTACTCATGGCGGCTTCTGATTTTAAAAGTAGCAAAATAGATTACATGGTCTAAATTGTTCTTAAGTATGAGTAAAATTACACTCTTGAAATAAATACTCATAAAAGTACAAGTACCCAAAAATCTACTTAATTACAATAATGTGAGCATTTGTAATTTGTTACTTCCACCCCTATAAAAAAAAAATAATAATTATACGACTGGCATAAAAACTGGTATTTTCTAACTATAATAACAAACTTGAATTGTGCATTTAGTGCATTGTGTATGCAGCTTTTTTAGCAGCGTCCTCAAAGCATCGCACCAACATTGTAACATGCGTAACGGTTTCTCAGCCCCACACCCTCTGGTTGTAACAGTAAAGGTTAAGCATGCCTTCAACATCATATTCACCACAAAAACAAATATAAAGTGCATGGAAAAAATACAATTCATCATAGAGCTGAATTGTGGGAGCCCTGAGCTTGTTCCTCTGCAATGAGACGGTGCCGTCTAGGGGTAATGGGAGACAATGACACTCAAAGTGTGTTGCTTATGTCCAGTCTGCTCTGTAATTTGTTTTGGTTGCTGTCACTGAAGAAAAACCTGCTTCACACAGATAGGATGTCACAAATGGCAACAGGGTTTTCAGTGCTGTTGTGGTGATCTCTGGGTATTCTGCCATGACTATAATCCAGAACACCGGCTGAGTTGTTGTCTCAAACATTTGCAATCCAGCAGTTGATCTTCTTCTTGCATAGACGTGCCTGATTCACCTGGTTTGTCGGCGAATGGGTCACGGCCTCTTTAAGAAGGTAGCCATGTGACTGAGGCAAGCATCTTGACCTGCTTCAAGACTCAAAAGTGAGTTATAGACAGATGTGGCAGAGAGAATCCGGTCATTTTTCCAAAATAAAACATGGTTCATAATCAGGTACTAAATAAAATGGAAATAATGTAAATTATGTATTCTTTCTGTGCGGCCCGCTACAAATTGACCCACGGACCAGTACCGGTCCACAGCCAGGGGGTTGGAGACCACTAGTACATTTGATAAGTGTATTAATGCCTTATATTTTTGTCTTTAAATTTTTAAAAGCTGTTTTTTTCTTGTTTTTTTTTTTTTTTTTTTTTAGGACAAACTGCACAAATCAGTCTTTACAAACCCTTAAGACCCAGTTGCCTGAGGGAATTATTTATAACTGCAAAGAAGTGCCTGAGTGAGTAATGTATACAGTAAGGGCAGCTGAATATTTGCACCTTTCTGTCCTCGTACAACAGTTGGATTTTTCTTGTGACAGAACCCAGATCAAGCAGTGCAGTGGCGACTCCGAGAAAGCCTGTGGGGCCTGCTGGTGAAAACAACCCGAGGCAGAAATAATCCCCCCGTGGAGAGATTTGTCTTGTTTTTCTCTGTGTTTAAGCAAAATTAAGCAAATTTTATATTTGTAGGGCAGTTTAACACAGCAGATAATCTGTTTTTCATAAATGTTAAGATACGTTTTGACAATTTCAGACTTTTTTTGATTCGTTTTTTTAATTATTATTATCACGTGTGTTGTTGGGTTAAAGATAAATGCTTCTGTACATTTTGTGTTTAACTGATGATTATGGATATTAATGGATGTTAATATCACGCTGTAGACAGCTCCATCTACTGAACATCTGAGGTGGAAATAAAAGAGTAAAAACTAAACGGCATAGAATATTTTCATTCATCAACATGTTACATACGTTATTGTGTAAATACGTTTAAACAGAATATATTTTTTAGTCTGTAGGTTTGCATATGCTGTGAGAAGTTTCAGCTGAGATTTGTTCTATAAAATCATTATTTTCTGTGTTGGGCTCTTTGTTTGGCTTTCTGTTCTGGTCACTAGATGTCCTCATTTCGTCTTCTGTAGTTCTTGGATGATCATGATTACTCAGCTGCTTTTATCCTCAGTAGGCATTTCAGACACTGTCAGGCTGTGGTGCATTTCCATTTCATTTTCTGTTGTTTTAATGTTTGGATTGTTAGAAGTTTAATCTTGCTGGAGGCCCGGTCTGGTCTACTCTGACTCATAAACTGGTTCGGAACAGATCACACCAATCTCAGCTGCTCACCATGAACGATCCCAGGGTCATTTTTGTTTGCTTGCTTCCAACACTTAGATAGATTTGCACATCACCCTATTATCCACCATCAGAAACAGATAAAATCAATGACATCACACATAGTCACCCCACTGATACACTCGCTGTGCTCCCGGATGTGAAGGTGGAGCCAAGGGCCAACATAAGCTGTTGCACGGGGCCTCCGGTTCCGGGTTAAGACGAGTCGGACGGATGCCTCATTGCTGAGCTTGTAACTTTTCCTGCCTTATCGACATTAAATGGTAAATAGAATTGCCCTCTCTTGATTTTATTGAGTTCGTGTGAGTTTCCTCTCCACCTGGGAACAAAAGAACCGGAAGGGTGCCGTGGTCGGACGGCTGACAAAATGGTGCCGAAACCCGGGAAAGTGCAAAGATGTATTCCTTCTCACTTGGTTGATGTTCCGTTTCATAAATCTCCTTATTTATTTATTAATTTTTATCTTGTACCTCCTGATTTGACAGTTTATTGGGAAAAAAACAAACGACGTATCAACTGCATGTTTTACTGCACCGTGTATTTCTTTTGACTACAAAACAAAGTCAAGGAGGAGCTGTTGGACTTAAATTAAATAGCCTATTAAGAAACGTATAATGTTATCGTATAAATGGTTACTACTCTTTAGTGACTTATTAATGCATGGATAAGAGATAACCACTTAACAGAAGCTAATCAAAGAAAGATTGTTCTCCTCAATCAGTCATCTTAGGAGCAACATTTAAGTTAAATATATATATATATATATTAAATGTTTGTACCACAATTTGCAGAAGTAACCCTGAACTCTTCAAATCTGAACACTTTCTTTACTTTAATTAGGACACTTAACAATTAAGAGAACGCACATGCAGAGCTCAGTGTTTTAATTTTTATAAAATTGTTTAAAAAATTAGACATTTTTCTCTTTCTTTAAATGAATCTGATATTTTCTTTTGTATTAAAATGTAAAAATATCAATAAATGTTAACAGACATTTTTCTTTTTATAATATCAACCCCACTGGCTGGAAAAACCATCTCCAACAAACTTGTAGTGGTCCACAGGCCACCAGACAGTTCACAGTCGCAGCAGGTTTTGCGGCTCTGGACATAATTTATAACCAAAGCAGCAAAAATGGCTCTTTTTATCAAAAACCCTGCTAATACCAGGTTGGACCCCATCTGCCTTCGGAACTGCCTAAATTCTTCATGCCACAGATTCAACAAGATGGTGGAAACATTCCTCAGAGAGTATGGTCCATAGTGACATAGCATCATGTCAGTATATGATGTAAATATCCAGTTCCAACACACCCCAACGGTGCTCCATTGCATTTTGATGTGGTGGCTGTGGAGACCTTTGGAGTCCAGTGAGACCAGACCAATCACAGGAGAAGGATATACATTAAATAAGAACATCCAGCTTGCCCTGTTTTTCCACATGAGCAGTTCCACTTCACCTCAGGCTCATACCAGAGACCTGGGAGCATGTGTTCTGCACAGAGTCATACATAGCTTTTCATAGGACTGTGCTATTTCAGTCAGACATCTCTGAGGTTGTTCCTGGGTTCTGTTGGAGCCTCTGAGACAGTGGCACTGAAAAAAAGATGACAAAGAACTGGAAGTGGCAGAAATGAAGATGTTCATGTTCTCCTTAGGAGTGACAAGGATGAATAAGATTAGGAATAAGATCATCAGAGGTACAGCACAGGTCGAACAACTGGAGATAAAGTTAAAGAGACCAGACTGAGATGGTTTGGACATGTCCAGATGAGGGACAGTGGGTATACTGGTAGAAGGATGTTAGAAATGCAGCTGTCAGGAAGAAGACAAAAACATAAAATAAATAAAACACAAACAAGGCCAAAGAGGAGACGTATAGATGCATTTTAGTGAGGACAGAGGACAGAGTGAGATGGAGGATTATTTACTTGTCGGCCGCTGAAAAGGGAACAGACAAACGAAGAAGAAGGAACATGAAAATGAGCATACAGTCCATTTACCATTTATTTTAAAGAGATAATTTTACAAAATCATTTTTGTAGTGCAATTTTTCATATACAATGTAGTTCTCAATAGTTAGCACCTTATCAGCTGTGATGTCACTCACAGAACATGAAGCTTGAAGAAAATGGCTTCTAGTTGTATCCAAATAGAAAGTCTGCTTTCATTTTTCTGAGTTTCTCATGAAACCGTGACCTGCCACCAACGTTTCAAGACTCTGGAGTATGCAAATGTGCTTAGCCGCTGAACAAAACAGAAAGTGCTTCAGACAGCCTATCGTCTTCTGGGTTAAAACCTTTAGGCCACAAATGTCTTATCAGCGATGCTTGTGAACCAGTGGTGTGTGTGCCACAAAACAGAATCACAGCTGTGCAGATGTGTGCGTCCCTGAGTGTTGTGGCAGGAATGAGGAGGCTCATCGAGAAAAGCTGAACCTCCTCTTTCCTTCTAGGTGACTTGTTGCTGTCGCATATACCGTAAAAGAGCTGAGTCGGTGCTGGGAAGAGACGTTCGGGGTTCTCACAGCACAGGTGCTGAACAAGGCCCCCATCTGCAAAACCACAGCACGGGCCACTAGAACTGTAATGTCGGTAAACACCGTCACAGTTTGAGTCACTGCTGCTGCCACTGAAACGACAGCACTAATTATAACCTTTGTGTAACAGTTTTCTTATATACGTAAAGAGCTCGTGTGGCAACACGAAAACTTGTGCAGTCTGTTTTTTTACTATGATACCAAATGTGGTTTATAACCTTTTTGATGGGGTTATACGCAGTGCTTTTCTAAAGGCAACAAGAATTCAGATATATTGTTGCTCAGTTCTGTCAAGCTGGAGCACAAATGCCTACATCAGGTTCAAAAAGCAGTTTTTTTTTTTGGTTTGGTTTTAATCAACAGCTGCCAAAATATCTCATAACGCACTGAACAGATTTGAATGAAATTCTTGGAAAGTAATACTTTTGTGCACATTTACAGCTGATTCATTTTTGGAGCCAACTTGATTCAAAATGGCTGCCACAACTGTAGAAAAGTTAAAATTGTCTATAATTCAGTCAGTTTGTCAAATATCCTGCTACAGTTTCTCCATCTTTAATTATGTCTTTGTAAACACATTTACACTTTATTTATACAAATAAACAATCAGAGTCAGGTTAGATTCCCCTCCGTTACTCCATTGATCAGGGATGTGAATGCATTTCCAGAATAAATATATACAGACCCTTTCCAAAAAATTAGAATATCATGGAAAAGTTGTTTAACTTCCATAATTCAATTCAAAAAGTTAATCTTTAATAGATGATAGATTCAGGGCCCACAATTTAAACAGTTTCAAGTATTTGTTTATTGTTACATAATTTGGGCTTCCAGCTCATGAAACCCACAAAAACAAGAATTCAAAAAATTAGAATACTGTGGAGAAATCAGCCCAAATTTTGCAGGGCATGAATGTTTTCAACTGAGTGTGACACACTAATCATCTACTAAACTCAAAGCACCTCCACACTTTTCCCCTGGTGTCATTAAATTGCTTCAGTTTAGTTCAATTGTCTCAGTTCGGTTCAATATGGGGAAGACTGCAGAGATAACAACTGGCCAGAAGACCATCATTGATACCCTCCATAGGATGGGTAAGCCACAAAAGTTCATAGCTAAGGAGGCTGGCTGTTCACAGAGTGCTGTGTCCAAGCATATCAATGGAAAGTCTAGTGGAAGGGCAAAATGTGGCAGGAGAAGATGCACCAGCCAAAGAGATGACTGTGGGCTTCAGCGGATCATCAAACAGAGAAGATTCCAGAATCCGGTCGATATCCAGAAAGAGTGGAATGAGGGGGGAGTCACAGCGTCAAAAAACACCACATTCAGATGCATCCGGGAAATGGGCTACAACTGTTGGGTTCCTCAATCCTCTTTTCCCATGAAAGTAAAGTGTGGCTTTCATTCAGAAATCAAGGTCCAAGGGTTTGGAGGAAGAACAGTGAGGAACAGAGCCCATACTGCTTGAGGTCCAGTGTGAAATATCCACAGTCAGTCATGATTTGTGGTGCAATGTCCGGTGCAGGTGTTGGTAAACTCTGCTTTCTTAAATCCAAGGTCACCGCAACTGTCTACCAGAATGTTTTAGAGGACTTCATGATTCCTTCTGCCGAGGATCTGTATGGAGATGCAGATTTCATCTTCCAGCAGGACCTGGCCCCTGCCCATGCCACAGTGCTTGACTGGCCAGCCAACTCACCGGACCTAAACCCCAATGAGAATCTATGGGGTATTCTCAAGAGGAAAATGAGTCACCTGACCAACAACAACAAAGAGCTGACAGCAAGCATCGAGGAAATCTGGGCTTCCATAACTCCCAGGCAATGCCACAGGCTGATTGCCTCAATGCCACGTCGCATCGAGGCAGTGATTAAGGCAAAGAGATTCCCAACAAAGTGTTGAAGATTGTCATATCGTTTTGAAAGTACCATATTTTGATTGGTTTGTTGTGATCCTAATTTCTTTCTTCTTTTTTCTGCAAAAACTGAGAAGTAGTGTGGGCTGACTCACTTTTTTTAAAATCATGTTTTCGTGGGTTTCATGAACTGGAAGCCAAAATTATGTAAAAAATAAACAAATAAATACTTGAAATCATTTAAATTATGGGCCCTGTATGTATAGGGTTAAAAGTTTCCGTAGGTGGTCCCTCGTACAAACTGTGTTGTCAATGTGTTCAGACGCCGCAGAAAACGAAAGAGAAACTTGTTCCAGTTGGAAGAAGTTTTCCCTTTCAACAAGAAAGTTACGTTGGGGGTTTAGTTTTTCATTTTTGTTTTTGAAATGGAACATTAGTAAAATGTTTATGGATTATACTGTAATTTGCCCATGGTTTTATGTTTGCTTTACATGGTTTCTAGATTAAAAGAAACAGGTACTTTTCATAAGAGATTCATATAGTTTGAAGCATGGGTTATCTTAATGTTTCTCCTGTGTTTGGTAAAGCTGATCATCTGTTTTGTCCATGCACTCCACCTCTAGTTTTGTTTCCACTGTAACCACTGCTTGTAAGGCCGCCTACACCACCCCCTTCTTACGACATTACATAACCTCCTTTACCCTCACTGATGAGCTCATAGAATTACTGTATGCTAGTGTTTTTTTCAACTGAGATAGAAGTGTAAATGAAAAAAATCTAACAGGTAAGTGGGGAAACTACGCAAATAAAGTGAAACAAGCCAGCAGAAAGTAATGATTGCACACATAATTTAATCAGCAGTTTTCATGTGAAAAATCGTGCTCTTTGAGTCACCTCCAAACATAGCTCGTTACTCACCGTGTTAACTCGTATTTGGAAATGTGCCTATATGTAATTTTTGAAAGTGTGGTGTTATTTGTGGGTTTGTTGGCAGCCATTACAATATGTTCTATGTCATGTGAGAATGTTCTGTTTAGAAATTAAGGTACGTTGCTACATTTGTGGGTCTCAAGGAACAACCTTAAGACATTTGGGAAAATTCTGTAACCTGACAGAGACTTTTCATGCTTTCTTCCAGACTGTCTGTGCCAATAATTATTGGTTTTCGGAACATGCAATCTGTATGCTCATGGAGAAATCCATGTGAGGTGTCACAGTGTCATCTATTAACGTTACGTTAGAATAATAAGAATTTATTTGACCGAAAACCATTTATCCATTCAACCATCGGAGATCACGTTGCAATTAGGTTCAGGGAAGAAACCAAGACTTTCCCCTCCTCAGCACTCCCCAACTCCTCCTGAAAGGTGCTCCCAGGTAAGAAGGAATATCTAATCCTTCCAGTAAGGTTGGGGTGTTCCTCAAGGTTTTATCCCAGATGGATGAGCTGAAAGACCTCCAGAAATAGGCATACTGACAAGATGCCTGATCCATTTCAGATGACTTCTTTCAAATGGACCTGTCCACCCTGAGATCCTGTACTTTTGGTCAACATCCATATCTCATGATCAGGGGAGGGTTGGAACAAAATCAGATGTGTTGTGTTTAGATGTTTAAAGGTTACCAAGAAAATGAAACAAGGATGTCCAATAACATGTTAAAAGCATTTTAACTTTAATTCATATTGTTTATCTAAGCCGCGGGACGGTGGCGCAGTTGGTAAAGCTGCCACCTCTCAGCGAGAAGGTTGCCGGATCAAATCTGGGGGCCTTTCTGGGTGGGAGTATGTTCTCTCCGTGCATGCGTGGGTTTTCTCTGGGTACTCCGTTTTTCTCCCACAGACCAAAAACATGCATGTTAGGTTGATTTTACATTAACTTTGGTTGTGTAACATCATTATCTATTTATTTTCTGCAGCTTATTCATGTTTGGGTCACTGAGACAACAGAAAGAGAACTGGAAACCCAAACATCCCCATTCCCAGCAACACCAGTTTTAAAATAGCATTTCTTCAATTTAATCCAGTTCATACAAGCCAGGACACAACAAAAGTTATTGTGGTACTTTGAATTCAAGCTCCAATGCAACAGAAATTAAACACAGCAAATGCATCTATTTATGCCACTTCTTTTCTGACGTTCCCTTTTTGCATAAGGAGTTTGTCTCACAGTGACCTAAGATTATTATTATTATTTAAAATTTTTTGTACATTTTCTTTTGTTGGAAGCATTATTTCATCTTAAATTCTTGCTGACTTTTGCTTCCATTAGTTTTACACTATTACTTTACTTTGAATTGCCTTTGTATAAATTATCTTATAGTGTTTTTTAATTATTTATTGTCATTATCTGGATTTCTGGGTGGCATGACCTTGAGCATAGCACAGGTATACAAATAAATAAGATAGAAATTTATGATAGTGTGATAATACACCAAATTTAACAATTGTTAAATGTGTGATATTTAAATAAATTTGTGTCTGCTGAATATTTTCTTTTGTGGTAAACCGTGTTTGTTTCTTTTGCAGATAAGAAAACTCATCTTGTAGTTGGTGAGAAAACAGTAATGTGTTTTTTTAAATAATAATTATAATATAATAATAATAATTATTAACAAAATACATTTTATTTAAATAGTAACCATGTCATTGATAAATATGATCAGTGTCACATCAAAAGTTGACTTTCTGTCTGTTGAACGCTGTAAAAAACATCAATTATTGAGATTTTTAAACAAAATGACGTGATAAACGTTTCCCACAATGCTATTCTTTTTATGTACATGTACTGGAAAGCGTATGGTTTACAGCTACCCTTGGCTCTAACATGATAAAATATCAAATCTGCTGGCATTTTAAAACGATTGTGTCTTTATTTATTGAAGATGACACATAATGAATAATGTTGTGCCTCATTTGTCGGTTAATCTTGGACGTTTTAGTTCAAGAGCTCAGTTTGCTGACTGGTTATAGTTATAGTTGTATTTACAGTAAAAATATTACACTTTTTTTGGAGGTGTTATTTATATTTTAGCTTCTCATTCTTATTTATTTTTAAAATTTCTCTCGTACTTTATATCTCAAAGTAATGAAATAACTGGTAATATGTCTTCCCTAAAATGACCAGAGGAAGCTCCATTTCACCCAAACACACACAGATGATGTAAGATTTATTCGTTCTGAATTTTAATGCCGAGTCATTGGGGAAGCACATTTCTGTCCCAGACTGTTTCAGGAAGTCAAAATATGATCCATCAATCAAACCTGATCTATCAGTCCTTCTGGTTTCAACGGTTGAACGAGACAACCAGCGTGTGAGAACACAAGACGGACAAAATCCAGCAGTTTTTACAAGTTTCCATAAAACACACTAAAAAGCAGTCGTAGTGCAGCTGCAGAGTAATGTTTACTGGAGGAGCAGGGGCGTAGTTTCCCCTCTTCTTCTTTCCTGTAACAAACCCGCTGTGAGTCAACACCTTTGAGAAGAGACTGAGTGTAGATTATGTAACCAGATAAGGCCTGAGAGATGTGTAACTTTCCCATAACCCGCAGCCCGTCTCTGGACGGTTTCATTTCAAAATGAGAGGTGGTGAAACGTGTGGCTGCTGCAGCTGAATCACCCAGGAAGTCAAAATGTTCTCAAGCTGTCAGGGTGACCACACATGCACTGTAAAAACTTATGTTTACATACTGAACTCAAGTACAAAATATACATATAGTACTGTATTATATGTTTACATACCTTCAGCTGACTTCAAGATGGCCACAACAGCCAACTAAACTAACCCATAAATAGCTTTAAGTTAGCTAATATGACAGATTTTGGCCTAAAATCTGCAGTGGTGGTAGCTGAAAGTCCTCCAGTGCATATTATGAGCTGTAACAGATCGTTTTAATTCAACTTTTATACATTATTTAGTTATACTGAGTCCCTCTGTGTGGACTGAACTTGACAAATAGGTCTTTTTCTACTCTGCTCCTGCAACCTGGAACACCTTGCAACAGGAAGTGAAGTTGTCCTCCTTGATTATTTTTTAAGGGGTTTCAAACATTTGAGAATGTCAGTAGAAAATTCAAAGCAAATTTGTTCTTGTTTTTAGTATTTCACCCTGTTTTACAGCACCTTGATTTATTGTTTTGTACACTACTCTTATTTTAACTGCATTTTTACTAGTTTATCATCATTGTACTGTTGTCGTTTTCTGTACTTTATATCAGGTTCCTGTTGTAAATGAGTCCTCGTGGCTCAATGAGATTATAGTATAAATAAAGGTTGAATGAATGAAAAATACAGGTTAGGCTAATTGAATCACGAGGACTCGTTTACAAGAGAGACACGAGTTAAACGTTGCCATTAAATATGGAGTCAACTCTATTTGCCTGTTAGCAAAATATTTTATGAACCACTTGATGGGTTTTAATGAAACTCTCAGGAATTAATAATTGGATGCACCTCAACAACTGAGTTGACAATCCAATAAAAAAAATGGCCGACACAACCTATAAGTCATTAACACAAAAATGGCCGTAATCCAGTCAAATTTGCAGACACACAACAAAAATTGACATAGTGGTTTAAATGTGCTATGAATTTATTTATTTATGGCTTTATAAGGAGTATTGTAGCATTTGATAGGTGAGTTTATAAGTACAAAAAAAAATGAAAAAAGTGAAACAACTGGATAAGCAAACTGTTACAACAAAGTTAGGTATTATTTATGACAGCTTTAAAATAAAAATCAGGATGAAAGTGTCCACGTGACGTGATTTCTGGCGGCCCTTTAGTCATCGCTTCATGCTGTAAACACGTTAATTACTGCACGCGCTGCTCAGGGCGCAGCTTGTACTTTCCTTTCCTTCGACAAAAGTCGGAAGCGCTCGTGTGACTGCGCGCGAGGGAACCCCGGCTTCTGATTGGACGGTTCGGTGATGCACGTCACTTCCTAGTTCAATTTAAACGAGTCGCAGGTACAAACGTCAAAGAAACTGCGCGGTGTGAAGACTTTACGGTGACAGCATGGTGAGTTTATTACGCTTTAAGCTTTTATTAAGGCTTAAACTCGGGTAGATTAGGCTCAGTGAGGTCTGATTTTATGAAACCACAGCGGAGAGCTCACTTCCTAGTGCTTTTTGATTAAAACAATCCTGGACTTATCACAGTTTTTCCTTACACTTTGGCTAATTTTTCCCATTTTTAACACTAAAATCTTAACACTTACCACAATTCAAAACGTGCAATAATAGTATTTTAGCACCAAAAAAAGATAATTCCTAAAGATTATTTTCTTTGAAATCTTTACATAAAAATGATGAACCGAATGATGATGCAACTTTAAGGTGCTTTTTGTCCTTCATTTGTGGACTTTCTGACAAAAAGAACAAAGAAATAGTTTGAAAGAATGGAAAAACTACCAATTAATTTTATGGGTACAAGTTCTAACTCTTTGAAAAGAGAATATAAAATATAAGAGATGTGTTTTAAACGTTTGCACCATACACACCTGTAAATAAATATGAATTCAGTTCGATTCAGTTTATTTACATAGCACCAAGTCACATCAGTCATCTCAGGGCACTGAACTAAAACATTCATATACATAAAAAGTACGTTAATAACATTAATTATCTGAGGATTACCCACCACCTTACATGCATCAGTTTAAAAGATGTTGCTTGATGTATTAGTTCTCATAATATGTGTTGAGGATGACTCTCAGCTACTACCACACTAAATTTTAACTCAATATCTGTAAAAATGACTGAGTTGTAACCACTTGGGTGTAAGCTGTGGTGGCTAGCTTGAATTGGGATGCCTCCAGGACATGCAGTGATTAGTTTCTGAGAGTTTCATTAACGTCTGTCCAGTAGTTTGAGTTATTTTGCTAACAGATCGACAAAGAGAACACACAAAGACACAGGAAATTACATGATCGCCCATTGCCATAGCAAAAAATATGGACTGCTATCCAAATATGTCCAGTCTATGAACTTCGGAACACAAAAAGGACATTTATATAATGTATATATTTATATTTGATTAGCTTTTTTTTTTGCCATATAGTTTCTTTTTTATTGATGATGGAAACAAACATGTAAGCACCCAGAATATGTAGCCTAAGTTTAGCTGATGTCAACATGTGGAGGCAAGAACATTTACACCAGCCATGGGTCTGAATTAGCTGTTCCGTTTTGCCAAGATCCCCAGCACTACTGCACACATCTGTTAGAATATTTAGTAATGATTCACACCAAGTGGCTAAAAACAGCACAAATATTTAGCTGTATTGCCAGAAATGTAATTTTTAAATCATGTCATTTTACATTAACTCTAATAAAGCATTCCAATTTTAGTTTCATCTAAATTTTATGCTGACCAGCTTCTTGCCAATTTATTAAACTTGGGCGTCTTTGAGTTTTTTTGTTTGTTTGTTTGTTTTTATTTGAGGAAATGAGATGAAGAAAGAAAGATCAAGAAAAGAAAGAAGCTGAGGTTTCTGTGTCGTAATCAGAATTTCTAAACCACTCAGACTTTTAGATGCACCGATCCTATTAGTATCTGTATTGGTACCGATATCGAAAAAACTAAAATTCTTGATCGGGTATCGTGACAATGTGACCGATCCATAAGGACAGGACCTGATTGTTGTTTATTTTAAATATCTGCCATCCAAGCTAGTGAAGCTATTGTTTTTTCCTCTTATTTCAACTCCTTTATTATTTATTTTACATTATATTTAGAATTCCTGAACATTTTAAATGTTTGTTGAAGTCTATTAGTTCATGTTTGACCAAAGTTGTCAACCAATTGTTTTTGTCAGTTTCAGTATCTTTATCATTATTTATTTTACATTGGATGTTATACTCATAACTGCACTGCCTGAACAAATTAAAGTTGTGTTGTTTTTACACATTTAAGCTATTGGTGTGTTCAAGTGTGCTGTACTGATGCAGCGTTTTCAATAAGTACATTTATGTCTGCGTTTAAAAAAAAACAACTAATGTTTTAAGTTAAATCAGCACTGTTTTCCTGTATCGTATTGGTATCGGACCGGTATATAACGATACTAAACCTCAGATATCAAAAGTGAAAAAAGTGGATTGGTGCATTAGTATTTACTGAGTGAAGTTTGTCCCTTTGTGTTCAGCAAACCTTGAAGGAGAGCCCAACTAAACCCACAAACAAACAAGTCAGCAGGTTGTACCCATCACTGCCGGGCACTAACAGGTAAAACCCAACACATCATACCACACTCTGCTGATACTGTTGGAATAATCTAATCGATGTGAGTATAAATTGTGTTTTATGCACTTTTTAGGGCTGAGGCTTGTTTGCCTCTTGGTAATGCTGGAGCACACCCCGAGTCTCGCCCTGTGGATTTTCCAGCTGACACACAGGTTGGTAATTTTTAAACAGTTCATCCAGGAAACTCTTTTCAGTTACATGAGCACCGAGAAGCTGTCTTCTGTTTGACAGCAATAACAAAACTTCCAGAAATGTGTGTGAAGGAAGTCATAATCGCAGAGCCGCAGGCTTTCGGCTGCTTGTGGGCACGTTTTTTTACCTCTTCCTCTTTTTCTGTGTGGTTCAGTCAGAAATGCCCGTCAGCACCTATGAGCGAATGAAAACTGAGATTTTTCTCTTGGAGGAGCAGAATAAGGAGGTGAGCACATTTCAGGACTGACACTCCTCAACATGTGTGTGTTTGGTTTCAGGGTTTATAATGATTTAAATATTTCTGTTTCACTCAGCTTCTCACTATCAATAAGAAATGGGCCAAAGAGTACAGAACAATGGAGCAGTTTTACAGAGAGAAGGTAAGAATGTTTCACTAGCTTGATCATTTAGATCACACTTTTGTTAGTTGTTTTTATTTCACATCTTTTTTTTATATATTTTGGGGTATAACTGTGACCTTGAGTACACAATTTCGTTCCACCTCATGTACCACATGTGATGCGAATGACAATAAAGAACCTTGAATTTTAGTGTCGTTTTTTTACTCGGTGTTCAGGTCCAACATTTGAAGGTGATGCAACACAACGGTCACTCTGACGAGGAAAAAAGTGACGAAGAAGAGAGACACGTGGTATTCTTTCCAAAAGAGGAAAAGGTCAAAACAGACAGACAGGTAAAGACATGTTTAGACAATGACACAAGTAAAACTTTTCATCATGCTCTTTATTTTATTTGTAGTCTCCAGTTAATCCAAAATGCTGCTGCCAGAGTCTTAACTGGAGTTAGTAGGAGAGATCATATCTCTCCAGTTTTAGTTTCTCTCCTCTAGCTCCTTGCAGTCCAGAATTGAATTCAAAATTTTACTTCTAACCTACAAAGCTCTCAACAACCTAGCTCCATCTTATATTCAAGATTGCATTGTTCCATATTTTCCTATCAGAGCACTTCGCTCTCAGACTGCAGGTTTACTTGTGATTCCTAGAGTTTCCAAAAGTGGAAGGGAAGGAAGATCTTTCAGTTATCAGGCTCCTCTGTTGTGGGACCAACTTCCAGTTTCTGTCCATGAGGCTGACACATTGTCCAGTTCTCAGACTGGGCTTAAGACTTTTCTTTTTGATAAATCCTATAGTTAGGGTTAGCTTGTTATCTACCATAGACTTAGACTACTGTTCAAGTTGTGTTTATTTGTCATATGCAAGGTTAACACGGGGTTAACAGTGCAATAAAATGCTTAGGATGAAAAGAACCAATTTGACTCGCTCAAAAAGCAAAGAACAAGCAAACAAGAAATACTAAATCATGCAATAACATAATGTACCAAAAAGTGAAAAAGTAATTATAATAATTACAACGTCCTGAAGAGAGATGCTAAACAACAACATGGTAGAATATGACGGTGCAGCAGAATGAATTTAAATGAATAAGTGTAAATATTTCAAGTTAGTAATATAAGCTAAAATGTACCTGATATATATATATATGTGTATGTATGTGTGTGTATATATATGTGTATGTACGTGTGTGTGTATATATATATATGTGTATGTATGTGTGTGTGTGTGTGTGTGTGTGTGTGTATATATATGTGTATGTATGTGTGTGTGTGTGTGTGTGTGTGTATATATATGTGTATGTATGTGTGTGTGTGTATGTCAAAGTAGATGGCCGCTCCTGAGCCTGGTTCTGCTAAAGGTTTCTTCCTCATGAGGGAGTTTTTCCTTTCCACTGTCGCCTTCGTGCTTGCTCAAGATGAGAGTTATGTGTTTAAGTTAAATTCAAAGCAGTCTGCTCCTCAGATAAATAGTGTTAAATTATTATTTTTATATATAAATGTTTCTGTTCAGTGCCCTGAGACGACTTCTGTTGTGACTTGGCGATATATAATTAAAGTGAATTGAATTATTTTAACCTTTTTCACAGAGTGGAGGAGATGAAGCCGATGAGCTGCGAGCACGGAACATAACTCTGACCCGCAGGGGGAGGCATCAGCAGGAGGAGATCAGACGACTCAACAAGGTGGGAATGCTGCTGTTGCGCACTTTGACCTCACTTCAGCTCATCATTGCAGTAAGGGGTTCTAACATCAGCTTCAATGTGTTCTCCACAGGCTTTAGAGGAGGCCCTTCTGACCTCCCAGCAGCTCGGGGGGAGCAGCGAAATGCCACAAGATATCTGGAAACATCAGGTGAATTTTGAGTGGCGTGCTGCTAGAAATTTAGGGGATTTTATTGTTTTCAGTTACAAAAAATTATCCCTTTTTAACCTATCAGGTTCAACATGACAAAAAGTGAGTCATTAATGTCTGCTGAAGTTATCAGGTTGATCTTATTACATACATAAAAAACATCTCTGACATGTTATTAGGTTTAAAATAAAGAATTGCTTCCAAAAGTGGCAGCCCTGTGAAAAATACACAACTCGGAAAGCAATTAGTAACACTCTAAAATAATGATTACAACGTATTTTAATGTATCAAATATTGAAACCAAGAAATTAAAATCTATTTTTATAAGTTTATGCCATTGGAGTGTAATGTTAACACAAATGTTAAAAAAGGTGATATAGAGGATTCAAATGACTAGAAAAGTTTTGTAATGGAATGAAAAAAAGACTCCCAAATAGGTGTCTCATCCCTATTAGCTAAACAGTTCCTTAAACAAAAGTTTGGAAATTTTCAAAATAAAAGACGATGACCCCTTGAACATCAATTGTACATTTTATTTTTTTTTAACCTGGAATGGCAAATCATCTGGAAGTTTATATACATTTTTGGCAGTGACCTTTCATCAACACTTAGCAAAAAGCAGATTTGCTTTCCTAAAGAAAACAAAAATCCTAAATTTCCATGTTGTGAACACTAAAATTTACACTACTGTCACTTTCATATAAAAAAAGTTAATTTTGCTGGAAATTTTAAGAAGATTTTGCTGGTTGTGAGTCCTGTCCCATAAGTAAATCATATCTCTATCTGAAAATAACTCTAAAGGTATCAGGAAATAACTGTATAATTATATTTCAATATCCATGAAATGCAAGTTTGACAGGAATGTAAATGGTAAATGGTAAATGGACTGTACATATATAGCGCCTTTCTATCTTATTTCAAAATACTCAAAGCTCTTTACACTAGAATCTGTGCCTCATTTACCCATTCATACAGCACTCTACTAGATCTACAAAGCTAATTGAACAAATCATTCTAAAGAGACTAATCAGTGATTTATCACATTCGTACACCGATGGGACACACATCAGAGGCTATGAGGGATTCAGTTTCTTGCCCAGGGACACTTTGGCATGTGACTGCTGGTGGATTCGAACCCCCAACTTTTGCATTGGAGGACGACTTCTCTAATCAAACAGCCACAGCCGCCCGTGAAAGTTCATACACTGCCTTACACTGTGTGTGTGTACATACACACATATATATGTATGTATGTATATATATATGTATGTGTATGTACACACACA